AGATGTCCGTTACATCTATCTATGTTCTAAATCCCACCCCGTTTGGTTGAAATCCAAGGGAGTTATAGCTGTTTAAAGTTTCAGCCAATCAGATTGCAGTGCACGTACATGCACGTGTATGCATGTGCATGGTGACCATATTTTCTTGTAGTAGTCCAGTATATCTATCTGTGTTCCAAATCCCATCCTGTTTGGTTGAAAATCAAGGGAGTTATAGCTATTTACGGTTTAAGCCAATCAGATAGCAGCGCACGTGCATGCACGTGTTTTCATGATAATTGCTATATATCATGTTGTAGGATATCCTAATGCATGGCGATTTTCAAAATTTCAAAGGATTTCGTCCAAAAATAAGAAAGATATTGAGACTTTAGTTTCAGCCAATCAGAGCAAAGCGCACGTGCATGCGCGTGAGATCTTGCTATTTTGACCATGTCATATTGTCTATGCTTCTAATATATTTTTATATTATAAGTTTCAAAGCATTTCATCAAAAATTTAAAAAGTTAAGCCTATATCAATTAAATCGGTCATTTCACATGTTGCACGTGCACGCTCTTGCAAGCACGTGCGCGCAAAATTACCTTCGTTCCGCAAATCTACATAACATGTCTACTGACCCTAAAAACATTTCACCTTAGTCGGATGTACAGTTTACGAGATCATTCCCGGACAAAAAAGTACCCAGGAAGAAGAAGAAAAAAAATAACTAGTGCTAATTGTAACGGGGACCGTTACGGATGTTCCCCAAACGCTCCACAAATCCCTTTTTGTGCCTAATTCCTGTAAGACATTTTAAAAAATATGATCAGTATCGAAGGATTTCATCAAAGAATTATAAAAGCTACAATGATATAAAATATATGTCAATTAACGCATTGTATGCGCAGGCACGTGCATGTACATGCAAGATGATGATGGCATGTTGTCCAAACAATTAACATTTCTATATATCGTGAGAATAAATGAAAAAAAATCTTTACAATATACATTTTAATGTTTTTTTTAAATATTGGCCATTTTGCGTATTTCGTGCGTGCACGTGCACGAATGCATGTTCGTGCATTCAATTTTATAGGAACATTATGTAGGAATCCATTATACCTAGTCATATTATAAATTTTATCCCGTTTCGTTGAAAACTAAGAAAGTTATAGACATTTAAATTTTCAGCCAATCAGATTGCAGCACACGTGCATGCGTATGCTTTTCATGATAATTCTTATATACCATGCAGTAGATCTTTATAATGTCTAGCCATGTTCAAAATTTCAAAGGATTTTGTCGAAAAATAAGAAAGATATTGTGACTTTAGTTTCAGCCAATCAGAGCGAAGCGCACGTGCATGCGCGTGAGATCTTGCTATTTTGACCATGTCCTCTAGTCTATGCTTCTAATATATCCTAATATTATAAGTTTCAAAACATTTCATCAAAAATGTAAATAGTTACGTTTATATCCCTTATATTGGACATTTCTGGTGTTGCACGTGCGCGCTCTTGCAAACACACGTGCATGCACATGCTTTCATGATAATTCTTTTATATCAGGCTGTAGATCTCCCTAATGTATGACTATGTTCAAAATTTCAGAGGATTTTATCAAAAAACCAGAAAGATATTGAGACTTTAGTTTTAGCCAATCAGAATGAAGCGCACGTGCATGCGCGTGAGATCTTGCTATTTTGACCATGTCATCTTGTCTATGCTACTAATATATCCTTATATTATGAGTTTCAAAGCATTTCATCAAAAAATACAAAAATTGCGCGACTATATTCATTATATTGGTCATTTCACGTGTTGCACGTGCACGCTCTTGCAAGCACGTGCGCGCAAAATGACCTTGATTCCGCAAATCTACATAACATGTCTACTTACTCTAAAAAGGTTTTACCTACATCGGACGAACAGTTTACAAGATCATTCCCGGACAAAAAAGTACCCAGGAAGAAGAAGAAAAATAATAATAATAATAATAATAATAATAATAAGAAACAGAGTAAAAACAATATGTTCCCCAACTTCGTTTGGGGAACATAATAATAAGAAACAGAGTAAAAACAATATGTTCCCCAACTTCGTTTGGGGAACATAACAAGGACACATGTCATGTGTTTTTAACTGAATGAAAAGCAAGTGCTTATTTATAATTATGAAAAGTTTGAAAATCTTGTGACAAAGACTTCAGCGACATAGATTCTACATTTGTATCTTAAAACAAATTTGTATTTATTACACTACAAAGCTTCCATACACCCCAAAATGTAGGCCAATATAAAAATAAACACAAGGATAACCTATAAATATATCTCACTGAAGTAAGGTAAAGAATATCTAATTCTACCCTGAATCAATAAATGACTCTACTATGGGAAACTACATTACTACATTATTATGCTACCGAACTTGAAGTTCTTAAAGCACGAACCTTGCGTTCTTGACCCCTAGCAGAGTGATATTCACAAGTTGAGTACAATGTACCTCTATATATAGGCAGAGTAAGCCAATTATACACTAAAAATAAATGCCTGATCTGATTGGGTAGGACAAAGTCTCTTAACCAATAGAATTACAGAATAAATATTACGTTTGATGTGACTGACAATATGGCGGGTAAAATGAATAATAAATAATAATATAATAATAATAATAAAATTTGTATAGCGCCCCATTTAAAATAATTTATTCTAAGGCGCTGAACAGACACTATGTCAGATATACAAGTAGTTAAATACAACACAATAATCATAAAAACAATAATCATAAAACATAAAACCTAAAATCATTCTAAGAGATCGTAACTAACATAAGAGTAAGCAAAAATTATATGCTGCTAGACTAAGATCAAATTGAGATCACATTAAAATTTTCACACAATCGGGTTGTGCCCAAAATAAATAGTCTGAGGACAATAGAACTTAATAACTTGTTCAAAAAATAAAAAAATTATACGTCGCATGCTATCTTAAAAAGATGAGTCTTAAGATCTCGTTTAAAGGCTAAAAGTGACGTCTGGAAGCGGAGAGCATCAGGTAAACCATTCCACAAAGTTGCCGCTGCATGGTCAAAACGACGCGTTCCGTATGTCTCCGTGCGAACACGAGGTTTCACAAGATGTTTGGAGTCATACGAGCGTAGAGTTCTTGACGGTTGATAGACTGTTATGAGTTCCTCAAGTTATGATGGTGATGTCCCCTGGAGTACTTTGAAAGTGTATAAAAGGATCTTATAATATGTTCCAAATTTAACTGGAAGCCAGTGAAGAGATATCAGGACTTCGGAGATATGATCATGCTTCCTAGTTCGGGTGACAATCCTTGCTGCCGTATTTTGTACTCTCTGTAGCCGTGAAATATTTGTCTCTGTAATTCCATAGAATAGTGCATTTCCATAATCAAGTCTTGATGTAACTAGAGCGACAACTAGAGTCTTACAAGCATCTTCTGTTATGAATGGACGGATTCGACTAATATTTCGTAGTGTAACCTTCGTAAAAACGTATCATATATTTATTAACAACTAAAATTTTTTTTCTCTTGTCCATACTGTTCCGTACTATCCTTGCGTCGAAACGCTTTATATATTGTGAAGCAGTTAAAATGTCACATTTTTGTGCATCGTGTGTGAATGACACAGCACAGACTGAATGGTTTTGTAATATCTATGACATGACCCACATTCGTATTTTGTGCTCTATTCTCCTTACGTCTTCATAGCTCAGAATACTCAATTTGAGTGCGAGTAGAGCCCAGAGATATTTGTTGTCCTCCAGTTATGGCGGCTGCCATATTTGTTATGAAAAAAAAGAAACTAAAACGCTCATGTGTAATTGATGTTGTAAAAATTCCAATTCATTATTTGATAAAACTTATATTGATTTTAAAAATTTAAATTTCAGTGAAAAATTATTCAGAAAGTGTTTATTATTTTTTTAACAAAACACTTAGCTCTGCATTACACTTTGTAAAAAGGCGAGGCAAACTTGAAACGCGCGAGACGTTGGAAATGTGAATTGGTAGAATGTGAGGATAATTAGCGTAGTCATTCTTAGTCAACCTTTGAGGAAAATAACAGAATACAAAGAAGGAATATGATGAGGATTTGTTACGCCCGCACATGTTACCGTAGTTGGAACTCTTTTGTACAATGAGGTAATCTTGTATCATTTGCGTTATTTTTAAGTTCATGGCGGCAAGCACATGGTACGACATAGCCCTCACATTTATGCGAGAATAAGGCACAAGTTTGTTTTGTATGTGTATTTTTGCGTATTCGATCTAGCTGTAATTAGTTTTCTATGTATTGATTCTGTGTAATTGTTATTGTTACAGTTTCACGGTGAAGTTTGGTATCTTGTGACACTACGGCGGGAATACCCGTATTTTTGTTTTGAATTAAACTTCATCAGTTAAAACCTAAGTAAACCTTATTTTATCTACGAGAGGGCCGATCCATAACCGCACATCTCTGCCGTAATAGTGAAACTCCTTCCCAGGGTAAAACGGTGAGTGTGACCTATGGAAGCTTAAAGACGCCACTACCTTCTGACTTCACAGTATTTGCGATGCATGATGTTTCTGTGATGATGTGTAACTGTGAACGGAACATAATTTGCGATTTATGTTGATGACATTAACTGTGTGAAAATTGTATGGTGACACGTTTGCGTTATAAAGTGACAATTTTAGCATTACTATACATAACATATTTGTGACTGTGTGTTAGTAAACAGTGTGCTATTAATTGATTAATGCTATTGATTAGTGCTAGATAATTATTATAGTTGTGCATATGAACAATTATCAAGACTGTGATGTAGATTGGAACTGTATTGACTCTTGTTGCAAATGTTGATTTGTATTTAATATGTATACATGTGCATGTATTTACCTTGTGTGCTAGGGGAAGGTTCTGATATTTTATTGCAATATTTTATCACATAGTCAGTAGGTAACATTGTATTGTATCTAAGTTTAGATCCCTAACTGTGTTACAAATATGTCGAACAAAGAGATGTCCTATACAGATGCACTTTCATCTATCCCCCCTGAAACAAAGGAAGACAACAACACAGGTAACGACAAGGAAAATGTTAAAACAACTTCTGAGGAAACGTCTAAGGACTCCGGACAAACAAGCCAGAGCAATACATTAAATATGCGTGAGCGCAAGATGACAACGAAAGGTTTGGAATGGCAAGTTGATCAGATATGCTCAGACTTTAAGCTCAAAGCTACAAGATGGCGAAAGTGCGCAGCTTCTTTTGAAGTTCTTATTTCGGATTCGAAGGATACCTCTGCTATCAGGCAAGAAAGAGACGTTCTTATTAGTATTACGACTAGTCTGAATGAAATCCTTGAAAGACTGAAACAAATGCTCACAAATGAAGAAGACGAGAAGTACAGAAATTTATTTGATCAATACCAGGGGAGGATCGAGATTATTCTAGGAGATAATCACACATTAATGAGAGACATTACAAATTGCTTAAGAGAATTAGAGTTTGACTCTGTCTCCAGGATTTCAGGTAGATCGCACAGCAGTCGTACATCAAGGTCAACGAGGGTTTCCAATACCTCCAGAAGTTCCAGGAAGTCAGTAGATACAGTCATGGAGGCAGCAGCGCTGAGACAAAACTGAAGTACATTGATGCAGAGGCGAAACACAAGGCAGACCTTGAAAGGATCAGAACCCAAAAGGAGCTTGATATAGCGCAGGCTAAGTTAGAAGCACTTGAGACTTTGGGAAGTAATGAACCATTCTCGTACAGTGATTTTAAACATTCGATTCCCGAGCTTGACTCCAAGGAGCGTGTTAAAAGATTCATTGATACTCAGGTAAGGCCATCAGAAGCGAAGGTCAAGATAGAACCAGTATCGGAAGCACCACCTATTTTGCATAGGAACCTCATTCCTCCAGTATTTACTCCTCACACACAACAGGAATACGTCGACACTAGTACTGCTTCAAGAGTACCCTTAAGCAACATAGACTTGCAGTCACTTAACAATCCGTCACTGCCTAGTAAAGATGACAAACAAATAGAGCAAGGCTTATTGGATCTGGCTACTTCACTAGCGAAGCAAGTGAGTCTTAGTCGTTTACCCCCTCCGGAACCTACCATTTTCTTAGGAGATCCGTTGAAGTATCCAAGTTGGAAAGCATCATTTCAAACACTCATTGAGCAGCGTCAGATTCCAGATTCAGAGAGGATACATTATTTGAAGAAGTATCTGGGTGGACCAGTGAAAGATGTCATAGAGAACTATTTTCTGTTATCAACAGATGATGCGTATGAGGAGGCTAAAGGACTGCTAGACCAAAGATATGGTAACCCATTCATTGTTGCCAATGCATTCCGTGACAAACTGGATAAATGGACAAAGATAAGCTCGAGAGATGGTGTTGGACTGCAGCGTTTTGGTGATTTTCTCAAGCAGTGTTATACGGCCATGCAGAGTATTGGAAGCTTGGACATTCTCAATGATGACAGAGAGAACAGAAGACTGCTGAGCAAACTTCCAGACTGGCTTGTGACAAGATGGGGTAGGATCGCCACACAGTATAGAGAAGAAAGAATGGAATTTCCACCATTCAAGAATTTCATGGAATTTATCGTGAAAGAAGCCAAGATTGCGACAGACCCTATTACCTCCATTGAGTCTGTAAAGAAGTCTGAACTCACCCAATCAGAGCCGAGTAAACCACGACCTGATGTCAGGGTACGACAGCGAGGTGCAGCTGATTATGGAAAACGATCTTTCCTGACAGACGTTGACGAGAATCAGCCCGCAAATGTGAACGTAGCAAATAGAAGTGACAGAGGGAGAAACTGTGTTTTGTGTGAAGGGAATCATGAACTAGATGACTGTAAACAGTTCTTAGCGAAGAGTCTGGAAGGAAGAAAACAGTACGCAAAGCAGAAAGGTCTGTGTTTTGGGTGTTTACATTCGGGTCATCTATCAAGGAAGTGTCGTCAGAGGAAAAGATGCAAAACTTGTTCCAAGTTTCACCCCTCATCTTTACACGGGGACATCTACAGACGAGAACAACAGCAGATTACAGAGGACGTGGATAAGGCAGCAGTTCCAAAGGAGAGTTCATCAGGGACAACACTTATGAATCACTCTGGAGCATCTAGCAAAAGTACCATGATACTTCCAGTTTATGTGTCACATAAAGAGAACACAGAAAGAGAGAGGTTAGTGTATGCGCTACTTGACACACAATCGGATACAACCTTTATTCTGGAGAAAACTTCAAGGGCCCTTGGACTTACTGGTAGACCTGTGAAGCTGATGCTTTCTACTATGTATGCAGAGAACAAGACCATAGATAGTTGTAAGATTGGAGGACTTGTTGTACGTGGATTCAGTGGTGAACACAGAATAGCGTTACCTGAGACATACACAAGAGCTATCATGCCTGCTAACAGATCCCATATCCCGACACCGGAAGTTGCGAGAAGATGGCCTCATCTGGAAACTATTGCTGATGAACTTCTACCTCTGACAGATTGCGAAGTTGGATTACTTATTGGTTACAACTGTGTGAAGACTTTGACGCCTAGAGATGTTATCGTTCCATCTAAAGACGGACCTTATGGTCAACGCACTGACTTGGGATGGAGTGTAGTAGGCATAATGGAGAATGACAGTTCAACGGAATGGGAAGAGGATCCCATAGGAATTAGTCATCGTATTGTTGCGTGCGACGTGCCTACAGAATTGTGTACATCTGAAGCATCAAGGCAAGACCATGTTGTATTTTCTGTAAGGAACAAGATAAAGGAAGTAATCGACCCTGAAGACGTAGTTAGGATGCTTGAAGTGGATTTCAGTGAGAACTTTAGCAGTTCAAAACATGTTTCCTACGAAGACAGAAAATTTCTGGATATCATGGAAAAGGGGATTCATAAGTGTGATGGACATTATGAAATGCCATTGCCTTTCCGAGAAGCAATGTCATACCTGAGCAACAATAGAGACATGGCATTTCAGCGACTACAACACTTGCGAAGGCGACTTGAGGAAGATGCACAGTATAGCGAGCACTACATTTCCTTTATGAGAGAGCTGATATCAAATGGTTTTGCCGAAATAGTACCGAAGACGGAAATTGGTGTCGATAGTTGTCAGGAGTGGTACATCCCACACCATGGTGTATATCATCCGCAAAAACCAGGAAAGCTGCGTGTAGTCTTCGATTGCAGTGCAAGATGTATGGGGCAGTCATTGAATGACCATTTGCTGCAAGGACCTGACATGATGAATATGCTTTTTGGAGTTTTGTGTCGATTTCGCAAAGAGCCAGTGGCCTTTGTGTGTGATATTGAGCAGATGTTTCATCAGTTCAAAGTGAATGTTGAACATAGAAATTACCTACGATTCTTGTGGTGGGATGATGGCAATTTCAATAAGGATCCTACTACTTACCGGATGACTGTACATCTATTTGGAGCAGTGTCTTCTCCAGGATGCGCCAACTTTAGCTTGAGACAAGCTGCCACAGACGGAGAGCTTCAGTTTGGGTCTGATGGTGGGAACTTCATCAAACGAGACTTCTATGTTGACGACGGACTGAAGTCGGTAGCTACTCCAGAGAAAGCCATTAGCATCATAGAGAGAAGCAAAGAGTTGTGCAGCAGAAGTAGTTTGAAGTTACACAAGTTCCTCTCAAACTCAAAGGAAGTTTTGGAGAGCATTCCAGCTGAAGAAAGAGCAAAGGGACTAGCAGATATTGACATACGCCATGACAAGCTTCCCATGGAAAGAACCTTAGGTATACAGTGGTGTATTCAGAGAGACGCATTTCAGTTCAAGATTACACTGAGAGACCGTCCTCTTACTAGACGAGGCGTTCTGTCGACTTTGAGTTCCGTATTTGACCCACTTGGATTCATAGCACCTTTTGTCCTAGTTGGGAAACAAATCTTGCAGGAAATGTGTAGAAACCAGACAGATTGGGATAGCCCTCTTCCAGAGAACTTGAGACCTAGATGGAGATGTTGGAGAAATGATCTTGAGCAGCTTGGTTCCTTGGAAATCAAGAGATGTCTAAAACCCGAGAACTTTGGAGATGTTGTTGTAGCTGAGCTACACCATTTCTCAGATGCGAGCACAATCGGGTATGGCCAGTGCTCATATCTTCGTCTCATCGATGACAAGCAGCAAGTACACTGCTCTTTAGTTATGGCAAAATCCAGGGTCACGCCACTCAAGCCAGTAACCGTACCTCGTTTGGAACTTACTGCTGCGCTCGTTTCTGTTAAGGTCAGCTCCCAACTTCTAGAAGAGCTTGAAATCAGCAATATTGTCGAATGGTTCTGGACAGATAGCACTGTTGTTCTTGGATACATTGCTAATGATTCTCGGCGATTTCATGTTTTTGTTGCCAACAGACTTCAACAGATTCGTGGTCACACAGAACCATATCAGTGGAACTATATCAGTTCAGCAGAGAATCCAGCAGACATGGCATCACGCGGTGTTACAGCTGATGAGTTACGAAAGAGGAAAGAATGGTTCAGAGGACCCAAGTTTCTATGGGAGTCCAGTTTACCATTTACTGGTCAGCCTGTCAGCAAGCCAACTATATCCGACGATGACCCAGAGGTTAAGCGTTGCCAGGTGTTTGAGACAAAGGTGGAACCTACTGAATATGAATCATTGACAGATCATTTGGAACGTTTTTCTGATTGGACCCAGGCAAAGAGACTCATAGCGAACTGTTTTAAGTTCAAGTTATTATTTAAGAAGGACGCTTGTCAGAAGGGAACAGACGCAGTGCTTTGCCATGAGCAAGGATTGCCAGTAGCATTATTGGAGAAAGCAGAATTGGCTATTGTAAGATTAGTTCAGAAAGAGGCTTTTAGTGAAGAACTGAAAATTCTTCACAGCACCAAGAAATGTGAGGAAGTTAACAGGACGAAAACCGTTCGAAAGACATCCTCCCTTTACCGACTTGACCCATTTCTGGATGATAATGATGTTTTGCGAGTCGGTGGTCGTTTGCGGAAGGGAGAATTCACGTCTTATGTTAAGCATCCAATCATTCTACCAAGGAAGTCACATATTACAAGGCTTATCATCAGACACTTTCATGAACGCAGCAGACACCAAGGACGAAGTATTACCACGAATGAGATAAGATCAAATGGTTATTGGATTATTGGCTGCAGTTCTGCTGTGTACAGTGTCATTTCGAAATGTGTGAAATGTCGTAAACGTCGCAGCCAAACACAGGATCAGAAAATGAGCGACCTACCTGCTGACAGACTTGCAGCAGAGGCACCATTTACATACAGTTGTGTAGACTTTTTTGGACCATTCTACATCAAAGAAGGTAGAAGAGAGTTGAAGAGATATGGAGTTCTCTTTACATGTATGTCTTCGAGAGCCGTGCATCTAGAAACTGCAAACTCTCTCGACACTAGTTCATTCATCAACGCTCTGCGCAGATTTCCAATAAGAAATATTGGCAGGACCAATAAGACAACTGAGATCAGATAGAGGCACAAACTTTGTTGGGGCTGAGAGAGAACTCAGAGAATCTTTGGAAGAATTAGATGATAGTCGTTTGAAGCGGTTTCTCACAGCTGACGGATGTGATTATATCCATTTCAAAATGAACGTTCCATCAGCGAGTCATATGGGCGGAATTTGGGAAAGGCAGATCAGGACAGTTCGCAATGTGCTTTCTTCCCTCTTGCAGGATTTTAGTGCGCAGTTAGACGATGAGGCTGTTAGAACCTTTTTCTGTGAGACTATGGCTATTGTCAACAGTCGCCTACTTACCATTTCGAACTTGCATGATCCATTCGCCCCCGAACCGATCACACCGAACCACCTTCTAACCATGAAGTCTAAGGTTGTCTTACCACCACCTGGTGAGTTCCAGAAGCCTGATTTGTATTGCCGTAAGAGATGGCGCCGTATACAATACCTGGCCAATGAATTCTGGATACGTTGGAGAAAGGAATTCCTTCAGACCCTCCAGACGCGTACAAAGTGGTCCTCGCCCAGACGGAATATCCAGACAGGAGATGTTGTGTTAGTGAAGGATGACAACTTACCACGAAATCAATGGCATCTCGGCCGTGTCGTAGAGACGTATGCAAGTGAGGATGGATTCGTCCGGAGTGTTAGATTAGCTATCTTTTACAGTTTTTCATTTTGCATGACTTTCATTTTGCATGCATTTTCATAAATAAACATGAGTTATATTGCAATTTTTGTTTAAAAATAAGCAAGAATATTCATGAATAGTCATGAATTTTATTCATTCATGAACATTCCTGAGTAAATTTTACAAATTATTAATGAACAATTCATTAAGATGCAATAAACTTATTATTGGACAAATCTTGAAATATGACTATTCATGAATTATTCATGAAAACAAATATTCATGAATATTCATCAATTTTCTTTCATGAATAAAAATTCATGATTTGATAATGTCCAAAAATAAGTTCATAGGATCTTCATGAACAATTCATGAACATAAAAGGGTTCTCCACAAGGGGTTTTACCACGACCCGCCATGGTTATATTTATGTGCGCCATGGTGAAACGAGCTGTGCCATGATGACATTTTATTGCATTTAAGTCCTGACAACTACTTTTTTAATGACTTGAGTTGTTGATTGTGTTTATACTTCGACTGTCATGCACCTCGCATGCCTCGAAGGAAAGCGGACTGTGCTAAACATACAGAGCGTCAATCAGCTGATCAGATGATCAATATTTTGAGGGATTATTATCCAGTACATATGTTAATAATTTGGGGGAACTTCAATATGTTCACTACATGATTAGATATACAACAGATTTATAAAAGATGACAATTACAAGCATGAGAATCGTCATGCTTGCGATTAAATTTTCTGTGCCAGAAAAAAATACTCAAATTCCTCTGTATTTAATCAATTTCCCATGCTCTGTTTTAAAAGCTTTAACTTTATTATTTGTGTGATGAAATGTGCATATGGCTTACGTTTCAATCGCCGTCTTAGTTTTAGAGTTAATTCCTGTTGTTATGAAACATCGCGTGGCGCTTTTTTTTTATTAGCAATTGACACTATACAAAACTTGGTGAAAAATGCAATAACTGGGAAAATAAAAAGTTTAGAAAAAAGGGAGACTAGTCCAAATGTTCTTTTGTGTGTTAACTTAAAAGAAAATACTACCAATTCATCAGTTTTAGTCATATTGAAACAAAATTTTCATACAACAGGCTACAATTTTATAATTATTAATTTCCGAAAATATTGCCATGGCTACTGGCTTACTGTATCAACAATTTTTCTTTAAATTCCTTCAAAGGTTACTAAGGTTTTGGGCATACCGTCTAAGTAGAATTTTAGCAAGGATTTAATTTTGGCATTATTAGCGAGGGTGTTGAGATCGCTAACATTTCATATGGTAAAAATTCATTGCTTTTTATTTGTAAAAGCTTCTTAAGTGGTAATTTTAATTTCGCTAAATTTGCATCTCGCTAAAAATAAACACAATTTTTTATGGACAAATCGCTGCATTTGCGTCTCGCTAAAATTTCCACTTATACGGTAGTTTGGTACATTTATGAAGTAAGATACAGGATAGATCCTTTTCAATTTAATAATTATTATTTTTTTATTTAAAAATGGTTAGTGTTAGTTATTTCATTGGTTTGTGTTTAAGTTAGTAAGTTTAAAAATTGAAAAAAAACAATCATTGATTAATGAAGATTAAGAAGTCTTAGACGCATTCGTGTTTTGGGCCACATCTCGCCTTTCGCGCAGCTTCCTCCATGGTTAAATTTTCAAATGTGGAGAACCCTGTCATTTCATGAATAAAAGTCATAAATAATTCACAGAAAATCATGAATTATTCATAATCACCTCGCTAGGGAAACGCCATGTGTTTCTTGTCATGATCGGGAAAATAACGGAAAATCCTTCGTCAATTTAGTGTATAGATAATCGACTAACAATAAGTATGAAAAACCTCAGTCAGCATTTCACTCAATGATTAATTTTATTTGCTGACAGGGTCATTGTATCAACCATAAAACTTACGAAATGATGGCTTTAAACGAGACTGCTGATATTCTTGTTCTATCAACTTGTTTCTCAATAGTTTACCTCGTTTTAGAAATTGTTCATATGTAGAACATGCTCTTGCGTTTCGATTCAGCTGAGATAAATAAAAGTTCGTACGCAGGTGATGATGATTATTGATGCATTAGTAAGGGAAGTTGACGATAGAAAAGTAAAAGTCATCACGTTTATCATAGACCTTGGTTGGTAGATTACCATTAACGTCTTTTTCAAGTAAAATGTCTAAATACGAAACAGATGTGTCAGACTCAGTGGTATTTATTATCTCAATCAAGCTCACCAGGATCTATCGTATCGGCATAAGACTGAAAATTACCATTGTTATTTGACAATACGTCGTCGATATTTCTAAATGTCGAGTTGAAGGTCGCAGCAAGTGTTTTCTTCTTCCTACGTACAAGATTTTGGACAAATTCTGCTTCATATTAATACAAAAATAGGTCTGCTAATAAAAGGGCGCAATTGGTACCCATGGTAGATTGTAGACCTGGTCTGCAAAAACCACAAAGATATCGTCAATCAAAAACTCAAGCATCTTTTTTATGTCAACTTGGGTGAACTATCAGAGGCTCGCCGCAGTAGGTGGTAGCACGACAAAAGATTGCTCACTGCTCAAAGTCCAAAATGACAATAAAACGTCAATCAGATAATTCAGACATCTCAATATGAACTTTATAACAAAAGATATCAATATGTTTATAAATAGATACAGTGTAGTTAAATACTCTGCTGAAAAGTGTAAAGAAGGTTCATTTGTGAACCAGATTATGTCTTCTATCGAAGTGTTAGAATTCTATAATAATATTCTTGCTTGAGTTCTTAAAGAATAGAAAGGGGCTTCTCTTCCCCAGCTGAATCAAAACGGAAAGGCATGTTCTACATACAATCTGTTTTCAAAACGAGACATGGTATTGACGAACAAGTTGATGAAACAAGTATCAACAGTAACCATTTTGCAAGTTCTTTGATTTTACAGGGACCTTGTCAGGAAATCCAACATTTCATTAAATCAAATGCTCATTGATATTTTTCATACTGATTGATAGTTCATTATTTACAAAGTAAATTTTCTGCAGATTTTCGTTTGCCCAATAATTACAAGAAGTGATCAAGACCGATTGACAGAGGATAATTTCCCCTCCATTGCACCTTATTTCACATCTAATGTTGTTATAGAGGTTTTTGTTTTCTCTGACATAGAGCTTGAATAGTGTTTGATATCGCCACATTTCATAATCAAACTAGTACTAATTGTAACGGGGACCGTTACAGATGTTCCCCAAACGTCCCCAAATCCCTTTTGTGCCTTTTTCCTACAAGACATTTTTTTTTAAAAATATGATCAGTATCGAAGGATTTCATCAAAAAAGCTACGATGATATCAATTATATGTCATTCAACACATTGTACACGTAGCGCATGCATGATGATCATGGCATGTTGTCTATACCATTAACATATCGATATTTTGTGAGAATCAATTTAAAAATATCTTTAAAATGTACGTGCTACTTTTTTCAAATATATTGGTTATTTTGCATATTTTGCGCTTACACGTGCATACATGCATGCATGTTGTGCATTCAATTTATATAATACCATAATGTAGGAATCCATTATACATAATCATTTTCTAAATTTCATCCCGTTTTGTTGAAAACTAAGAAAGTTATAGGCATTTAAAGTTTCGGCAATTCATATTGCAGCACACATGATTGCGCATGCCTTCACGATAATTCTTTTATACATGTATCATGCTGTAGATCTTCATAATGTATAAGCATTTTTGAAATTTTTAAAGGATTCTGTAAAAAACAAGAAATATATTGAGAATTTAGTTTCAGCCTATCAAAGCGAAGTGCACGTGCATGTGCGTAAAATGTTATTTTAACCATGTCATCTTGTCTATGCTACTTATATGTCCTCATGATATGAGTTTCAAAGCATTTCATCAAAAATTGAAAAATTACATCTCTATCAATTATATTGATCATTTCTCATGTTGCACGTGCGCGCTCTTGCAAGCACGTGCACTCAAAATGAGCTTTGTTCGGGAAATCTACATAACATGTCTCCTGACCCTAAAAAATTTCACCTCAGTCAGATGTGTAGTTTACAAGATAACTCGAGTGCAAAATGTTCCCAGGAAGAAGCAACGAGTAGGTCTTCCGTCCTGTTTGACCGGAAGTAACGTTTATTTTAAAGAAATGAGCAATGACGTCCAGTTTCACCGGAAGTGACGACGACGGACGGAAAATTAATTTTTATGCTTCCAATTACATATGTTACCTAAAAACATGTCAAGAACGGCAAAAATATGCATTTTTGACTACTTCCGGTATGACTGAAAGTGACGTCGCCGAACGTATTTTGAGGACCCCAAAAGAATGAGCTTGAAATTTTGAACAACATTGCTTCTTTGACGTTTTACAAATTCTCAATACTTTTTGAGATATAAAGGAAAAACTTTCGGCCCCTCTCGGCCCTTAATTATAGGGGCCAGACCCTAATCGTTGATATCCATTGAAAGACACAACTTTGTTCTATATGTCTTTACAAAATATTAACATGTAAAAAGATATTGCAGAAAAGGTTTGAAAAAATTCTAAATCCCCAATGGCACTTTTTCGGACCATAGCGAACGTCAACGTTCGGCGTTTCCGGAAAAAGCAAAATGCTAAAGGCACACCTACAGACATACGTCTATCATACCTGAATGTTTCATGTTTCTATCTAAATCCATTTTTCAGAAAAAACCCTTTAAAATTCATAAAAGTTGCCATATCTCAGACCGAAAGTGACGTCATCAAAAAAGGGAAAAAAAAAACCGCATAAGGTTTAAGTGATGAAACATATGTCGTGAAAGTTTCATGAAAACTCATTAGGCCGTTTTCGAGAAATTGCGAGCACAAAATCGGTAAAAAAAAACAATAATAAAAGTGAAAAAGAAACCTAAGAATAACAGAAAGGTTTTCCGCTGAAGACGGAAAACATTAAGAAGAAGAAGAAGAAACAGTGTAAAAACAATATGCTTCCCAACTTTGTTTGGGGAACATAATTACTGTAAACCAATTTTATTCGCAAACGAGAAATACTGGCTCGTTTCGCTACTTTTTCTTACTCAAGAATATTTCCAGACATGAACTTATTGATCACCCATGTACTAATATTGATTGTCGCCTCTATTGCAAGAATACGTAGTTGCGGATACCTTCCAAACTAATAAACAGCGAATTAAAGTGATCGCAAACAAATGATTGTTTATACTTGTATTTTCTTTACAGAACGCAAATCAACAACCAATTGCAAATTTTCTGGAGAATTGTCTACGTTATAAAGAAGATTTTCATTTCGGTGAAGAACTTGATGAGGCTGTGACTGAATACCATCGTCTCCTTAAGAAGGCAAAAGAAGCAGGATGTCCGGTATTGATTTTTTAAATGAGAATATCACACACCTTACAGAAAAAAGTAGTTTAATATTTTTT